GCAGACTTATTACATGTGATCTCGGCGACATCGCAGCGATCGCATGTAAACGAACAATCGGCTTCCCCACACTACATTTAGCGCGGCTTGTGCAAAGCAACTCACCGCCCGGCCCCCTCCGGATTCCGCCCGGCCGCCCCCCGAGACCTGGCCTTGTGGGGGAATCCGGGCCTGCTGGCGTATACAGAGACAATTCTGACAATCTATATACTGTATATACATGACTATAGAGAAACACTGATCTGTGACGATTCCGATCTATAGGAGACGCCCGCACGGAAACGCTCTGCTATCACCCGTCTTCGCCGCGTCCAAAATGGCTTTGGAAACGCCGATTCCATGCGTCGCACGGACAGCACTGCGCGTCATGCAGCCTGAATGGTGGTAATGGACATTGCATGCATCGATGGTCAGCTCAGGCACGCTGACTGGAGGATCGGATGGGGGAGGGGGCGGGTACAGCTGGCTCTGCCTCTAGATAGGCAGAGCCAGCTGTCACTCACGCAGCTGGGCGGATCCAGACATAATTGTCGGGATCCGCTTCAGCTGCGTCGTCTCGGTATACCGCGAGCTGTAGCTCCCTATATACTGAGCTTTGGGTGACGGGAGGACGCTAGTTTGTGTCCTCCCGTGTCCCTTAGTGGGAAAGCCCTGACCTCATAGTTCTCCTTTAAGACAAGGGTTCTTTTTCAAGGTTTGGAGGAGACTGTGCTGCCCCTCCTCGCGAGGTTCCCCTTCCAGGGTCGGAAGGTCTGTGACCAGGGAGGGGGACCGCATGCTCACTGGCAGTCCTGGATAAGGGGTCTGTTTGGAATATTAAGGGGAACCATGTGACATTTGTTTTTTATATGTACTGTCACTTTAATTCTGAAACATTGACTGTGGAAATTCCGGGGGGATCCCTGCGTGTGACATCATTTCCCATAAAAGGTGATTTCATAATTGATGATGTCACCCCTGGAGTCGGGACGCTGCGCGGCGGCTCGTGGGGTGTGTGTCCGGTAGGTAAACATTGCGAGAGGAGAGTTTTTTTTAAATTTTTTTTACCTTCACATAATGAATCGCATTTATCAAACATCCCTCCCAGCGCTAAAAACTATTCCACAGCCGACGGCACCCGGGAAATCCCTTTAATTATCCCTTTAATTACCATCCGGACTGAGTTCAGACCGGTTCATGGCTAATTGGCTTAGTCCGAGCGCCGTTGCCGGATTTAGAGGGTAGCCGCAGGTCCAGCGCGGCGTCCGTACCGCTTTCTACAGATCAGTTCAGCATTGTCTGTGTCCCCGCAGGGGAGATTCGCCCTCTTTATGAGCCTTGTCACCGGAACAGAGGGG